TTGTGTTAATGGGTACAAGATTTACACATCTATTGGGATATTAGAGAAAAAAATCAACAATATTGGTGTTTTTGTTAAAATAATGTTGAGGGCGGAGAATATGTTTGGTATGGTGTTATTAAGGAAATCATTGAGTTTGAGTACATTGATGAGGCTACAAAAACAAATCATGCTATTTAAATATGATTGGTATTATCCTACCTAACTTACTAGGTCACGATAATACAACAATTACAAAATCATTGAAATCAATCACACCAAAAGATATGAAAGTTATAATCCATTTATCTTATATCAAAATGCTAGACAAGTATATTATATGTCTTATCTTAGGAAAAGTAGGTCACATTAGAGGGTTGTGAACATGACAAAACTAAGAAGTAGGATTGAAATAGAGGAAGATACTATTGAATATGCTTATCAAGTGCATGATGAAGCCGCTTCAAGGCAAGTAATTGATGCAAAAAATCTTGAAAATCTTCTTTTGTTGATTACTAAGAAAGTTGACATAATTAAATGCATAAGTAACCACACAATCAAAAATCATAAAGATGAAATAAATGATAATGATAAAACAAAACCAAACTGAAACCTTAACTTTTAGATTAAGTAAGGTGTTAAATATTACATACAATAGTATTTTGATATTACGTTAAATTTTCTAATGTAAGTAATGCTTTATGTAGACTATTTAATCATTTCAATATGCCTTGTAGAGGCAAAGGCTGACCTCATAAACTCAGTTCATCTACAACTTATCCTTCTACTACCTTCATAACCACCCTTTCCACCATTTCTCCCACCTCTCATTCCACTATCTTCAAGTCAATCCTTATGACCACCTTTTTGTTTAGGCTACTACCCCATTCTTGGGTGTGTTGGTCTTACATCTCATTAGATTTCTGCTTCATCAAAAGGGTCACAGACACGACACTCAAATGGAAGGTACTTGGCCTAGGTGGTAGGCAACTTGGGCCTATGGTACACCACTTCGCCAAATTAAGCTAAATGATAAAGATAGGTAAATTTAAACATATTTTCTATGATATTCTAATTTTGCATTGTGATTGATATTTAAAATTTTTTCATTGTTTTTAATTTTGTTCATCTATATAACAACTCTAATCCATTTGCTAAGGGTCATCATTAGATTACAGAGGAGTAGGTATTTACTTGTGACCCACTTTGACTAACATCCTAAGAGATGTTAAGGAGATGTCGTGGCAGAATTGGAAGGTAATTCTATAATTTATTTACTTTTATTAAAATAAAGTTTATATTATTTATATGTTTATGATTACTTATGTGTTGCAAGTTTTTTCTATTAAGAGAGCTTAGAGGATTAGGTTCTCTAAGCAATTACGTGACATGTTTCATATTATTTGTAAAAAGGATATGAACAACTTGTGCCTAAATGATGCCACTCTCAGTGAGGTACAGTACCAGTAGGCTAGTGACCCAATGTTTAATGATATGTTTGATAAGGAGAAGACAAATTGAGCTCACTGAAAGGCAAGCATGAGATTCACGAGTGTCTAGTAAATATTTAACCTTTTTACATTTAATATATTATTAAATGTTAATTTAATACATTCCAATTGTGGCAAATACTATGTTTTATGATTTTATTGTACATATTTGTGTACGCAAGGGAATTAAATTGTCCTTTGACCTAGGAAAAGATATTTAGAGAGATCCACACTAAAAGGTTGACCTGCAAGGGAAGTTTGAAGAGGTCTAGGTAAGTCCTCACTTTAAGGCCACCTATGTCATAATTATTACTTACAATGTGGCCACATATGTTGAGCATATACAAACCAAGTACTAAACCTAAGTGGCTAAGGCTGGCCTTGATGTTGATATTCATTCTCTTCCAAACATGGAGGATGCTTAAGCCCAAGTGGTTGGTGGCCCTTACAATGGTTGCACGTATAGAACGGGGGTACTGATCAAATAGTAGGGCCTTATCCTTTGCATTGGGTCCACTATTAGGAGTTTCAACAACAAACACAACTAATTTACCAATAGTTAGAGCAACAAACTGATAAGTGTATAAAATAAGTGATTTGAGATGGTGACTTGAACACTTTTTATGTTAAAAGTTGGATTATTTTGTTAAATTCCCTTCAAACTTAGAATTTTTACAAATACATATATATTTTTAGAGATGAATGCAATTTTAGTGTTTTAATTCCTTTTTGATCTATTTTGTAGCTGGAATCAATAGAGAATCATCAATTAAAGTTGAAGAAAAACTGGATAAAGTCAGAAAAAGAGCATTAAAGCATGAAGTTGCACAAAAAGTTAGATTCTGGAGATTTCTCGTTGTAGCAAGAAATACTCGCTGCAGCGAGGATGCTTGATTGTGAAGAGGGTGATTTTATGCTCTTCTCGCTATAGCGAGAATGCTTGCTGTAGCGAGATACTTTTGGATCGTTGTAGCGAGAATCCTAACTGCAGCGAAAGGCAAACAGAATGACCTAATTTCTATCTCTGTTTCTCTCTACAACGAGGGACTGTTGCTATAGCGAGAGAAGTTCGATCAGACCAGTATAAAAGGTGATATTTATGTTCAAGTGGGAGGACTGTTCAAAAACCATTTCGAGGGGGTCCAGAACGGCGCAAGACATAGAAAGAGAGTAGGAATACTCAGTTTTTGATGTTTTATTCCTTTTGTATCTCTATTTTTGTTGATATGGTTGCCATGAGCAGCTAAACCTTATATGAGATTGAATGTAAATCTTTAAACTTGATGTATTCTCAGTAATTTATATAAATATAGTTATTTCTTCTTCATTTCTAATGATTTGATGATCTCAATCCATTTTAATGGTTGAATCTAGTTATTTGATGGTTTCTAGAGTTCAGATTTGAGTTGTATTTGGGAAGATATTATTTAGATTTAGATCTGATTGAGATTACTCAATAACCGATTGTTCTAGGAATAAATTTCAAGTTATTGATTGCTTTTAAATCCTGATTTTAATGCTGGATAGTTTATTAACTATTTGAGAAATCAACATTTGAGAAATTATCTTGGGGATATATTTTTAAGGAATTAAAACATATGACTTTCGTATTTTGCATCAGATTCATTGGAAATGATTACTATATTTATCACTAGATTACTAGTATATAGAGGTAGAGATAGATGAAATTCAATCCCAGCTTTTTAACTTGAATTTTACCATATTTTACTTTAGTGCTTTACATTTTAATTGTTGTTTAATATTTCATGAAAATCATTCACCAATTCTATTGTATATAAGCTCAATTAATTAGTATCTTATTAAGTAATACATTTGAATTGCTCTCTGAGGACGATATTCTGGTACTTTACGGGTTATTACTTGCAACAACTCGGTACACTTGCCGTGTTTGAAGGAAAAGATCCAACACAAACACAATTCCTTCAATAGTTCTAAGAGTTGGCATTAGGGTGAACAAGTATTAAGCAAGAGATGAGGAAAATCTGATAGAAAAAGATCATTGCTGATGTAATGACCTTCTTCAGGGATATGCAAGCTTTAGGATCCCCTAATTCTGGGAAGAAGCTCTTCCACATGCCTTTTTGACTTATTTTTTGAGTTCATCATCGTCTAATAACACATATGACTATGGTAGGTCTAATGTTGATGACAAAGAATTTAATTGATCTTTATTTATTTTATTTTATTTATATTTTTTGTATTATATATATGATGCTTTGTTTATTGATTGCATCAATTTGTTGATTTATTTTATTATTATTTTACTATTTAATATCACTTTAATGGATAATTATTTATGGTATATGTAAATAAAAAAAATACAAGTACTATCAATCAATTCATACTTTAAATAAGATACTTTTTAAAAAAAATATTAAATTATTACGAACAAGATCACTTGTCAATAATTAATTAAATTTAAAATAAAAAATACATTAATAAAAATTATAATAATTTTATTTTTATTTTTAAAAAATCGTCAATAAAGTTACAATTATTCGTCAGCAATATTATGTATCTAATGACTTAGGTGACCCTTTTAATTTAATTGTAACATTGATCCTTATGTTTATACCCATCGGTAATCATCGACGAGTTTAATTAACCATCAATAATATTTCCTTTACTGCTAAAATACTAACAGTCAAATGCCATCGATAAATTTGTTAGTATAAATCGTAACCGTAAAAAAATTCATCGATAATCCTGTCAACATCCTATGTCTTTCTTACAGTAAAAATTTGTCCTATTCAATTGATTCTTTCGTTCATTAATTTAATTATTTCTAGTTGTGACTTGAATTTCATAAGTTAATGCATTTATAATTATATTTCCTTATGTTTTTACTGAAAAATTTAAACTCCTACCTTTTAATCATTCTAATTTTTGAAAAAATCTTAGATAGTTCTTAATAGATAAATTAAGTTGTATTCTATACTTAATGCACAAAGTATTTAGAATTATCTTTTACTTTAAGGCGTTAATTTTGTCAAGAATCATAAAGTTGATGTTTCCAATTTGAGTGTTTTATATATATATATATATATATATATATATATATATATATATATAGGGATAAGATCCATTAAAACCATACCAAATTCTAACAGTACAAATCAAATAATCAAATTCTATTAACTTATACAGTTAGAATTTAGTATAAGTTTAAGATGTTAATGGATCCTATCCATATATATATATGGAAGAATCTTTTCATACAAATGTAAGTCTAAAAATCCTTACACTCAATCTTAGCCTTTTATTTAACTTATGTATAATGATCAGTGGAGTAATAAATTATAACTCGTTATATGTAAGTTAAATGAAAGATTCAGATCGAGTGTAAGAATTTTTAAACTTATACTAGTGTGAGAAGATCCTGCCTCTCTCTCTAAATATATATAAAAGAAATATGTTGAAAAGCTTTACCATAGTCATTGACAAAGTCTCAAGTGCTTGATTAATGAATTTTTTTTTATAATATGGTCAAATTACTTTAATTCTACGTTGGACCTAAGAGATCATTATAAAACATTGATATGTAAATTTACAAAATGAAAAAAAAAAAATCCTAATGATTTCATTGAGCAAGAGAATCTCCATCTTAAAATAGGTACATACAAAGATAGACACTCTAAACCAAACCAATATATTCTAAATTCATTTAAAATGTTCTTATGCCATAAGTATCAACGTGCAACATCAAAGGCAACGCGTACATGGTCCCTTAAGCTGTCGTACCCATAATTTCCAAGCTTACTACTATTGCCATGCTCATCAATGCTCGATGTCTCATGAAGTAAATATTGAGACTCCTCCAAATTCATGCTTACATTACCCCATGGGTGCTTCTCGGTTACCCTTATTCTTTTCAACTCTATTTCCACTTCCTTCATGCTAGGCCTCTCCTCCCCTCTAAGCTTTAAGCACTTGCTTGCAACAATAGCAACTTCCATGATCTCTTTCATAGTTTTTTCACTCAAGAGATTAAGTTCAACAATTTGAAACAAGCGATTATCTTTTAAGCTGGAGAGAAAGTGTATAGCTAGACTTTGTTGCTCCTCTGGCCTTTGAAATGAATGAGCTTTTTGTCCTGTTAGTAGCTCCACAAGCACTACTCCAAAGCTATAGACATCACTCTTCTCAGTTAAATTACTTGTTTGCATGTACTCTGGGTCCAAGTAACCAAAAGTTCCTTGTACCATTGTGGCTAATTCTGCTTGATCAAGGGGAACCAATTTTGAAGCTCCAAAATCCGACACTTTTGAAGTGTAAGTGTCATCCAAGAGAATGTTAGCGCTCTTGACATCTCTATGAATAATAGTTGTGGAAGCATCTGAATGCAAATATGATAGAGCACCTGCTACCTCTATGGCTATTCTTAGACGAGTCTCCCAAGGCATATTACCTGCCTTGTTTTCATTTTGTAAATTATCATAAAGGTTACCATTATTAACAAACTCATAGACCAATAATGGGACTTCAATGTCTAAACAACAACCCAAGAGTTTTACGACATTCCTGTGGTTGATTTGGGACAGAATAATCACCTCATTAATGAATTGCTCAACTTGGCTTTGATCCACAACTTTAGATTTCTTAATCGCAACAACGTTGTTATTTGCAAGGATTCCTTTGAAAACTGTGCCAAAACCTCCTTGGCCAATGATTAGGCCCTCATCATAATTGTTAGTGGCTTTCTTTAGCTCTTCTGCTGTGAAAATTTGTGCAGTTTGGGAAGGGTCTTGATTTGTTGTCATTGTTGACAGTCGTCGTTGCAAAATGAAACCACCATTTTGTCGAAAGAATTTTTCTCTTTGTTTAATGAGATTCCTTTTTTGATATATTATGTATATCCAAGAAATCAGTAACAGTGCCAGAAAACCTGCACTTGCTCCTGTATATTTACATAATAACAACAAATCAAATTATACAATTTACACAATTTAAGAATATTGTTTTTTAACATAATAAATGGAGAGTACAGATGGATGCTTTAGCAGAAAAAATATTAAAAAAGAGCATAAGATGTTATAATAATAATAAAAAAGTCAAATTCAGTCTCTGAAAATACTGTCTCATATTAGATGTCACTTAATTTTTTTTTTATTTGGATCAAATTATTTATTACTTTAAAAGATTAAAAAATGTTTTTCAATAATATCATTATTTATTAGAAATATTTTTCACCTTCTTAAGTACCATAACAACGCTATTATTATTTTAAGAATAATTCTTATCAAACAACTATTAGAAAACCTCTAATACTTTTAACATAGGTATTTTAGTAAAACTAATTTATTTTATTAAAATAATTGATAAAATTAATCATTTTCTTAACATGTGCGCATATATATTAAGTAACATAATATATGAGACAAAAAAAAGTAACATTTTTAAAATTGATTTCTGTTTGAATTTTTTTTTTTTAAATTACATGTACCTGAAAATACACTATTTTTATTAAATGTAAGAATTAAAAATAAATAAAAATTAAGCAAAAACTAAAAAGTCATATATCAATAAATAAACTAAATTTGATTAATTCATTTAAAAAATACATTTCACGTAGTGATACTGATGAATAAAACATGACAACTTGCTTACCAACGGCATACTTGGTTTGATTACTTTTCCCTTGTATTGGCCGACATCCTCCATCGCTTTTTCCATTTCCAACTTGTCCATCAGGACAAAAGCACTCGAAAGACCCATCAGTGTTACGGCAATGATCTTCACTTATACACGTATGATTGTTTATCTTACATTCGTTAATGTCTGCAAATTGGTCACAAAAAAGTTCTTAATTTGCTTGAATAATAAAATATCTCAAGTCAATGATAAAAGTCATCAAATTTTGTACAATTTAGTTAGTATGGTTGTATTCTTCAATCAAATTTGATTGAAACGTATAACAATATTTCACCCTATTATATTTTGTATGCATCTGAATCAATTAATTAATATTGTAATAATTTCTACATCAATAGTGCATTAAAATTAAACTCTTTTAATCTTTTATCTTATTTCTCTATATACCTTTTAACAAAAAACCTAAAATCAAAATCTTATAAAAATAAGAGATAAAAAAATATACAAGTCTATAAATTTTATACTAAATCTGTAAAAGCAAGCAGCAGTCAATTAATTAAATGAAGCTGTGAGCAATTATCATTTGAAAGGCCACGCTTAAATTAAGATTATATAATATTATTTGATAGAAGATATTACCTTGGCAACCATTTGGATGATATGGATTTCCGTCATAACCTGTTCTGCATATGCATCTATATCCATAAGTAGTTCCAACATCATCACAATAACTATTATTCATGCATGCACTTTTGAGTGATCCATTCCGGAAAGCTTCACATCTCTCATTTCCAACAGTCCAATCAATAACAATAGGAAGCACATTAAAAGGCAGTTTCTCTAAATGATCGATGCTAAACTCATAGAAGCCTTGTTTGGCAATAAAGGAATAACTACAATCAGTGATGTTCAAAGAGTTAAAACTATTTGTTTGTAAAGTGATATTATTCATGCCAAGAGGAATATCCACTTGGCAACACCCTATCCCCGAACATGTTCCATTGTTTACCACATCGTAAGGGAACCTACCACACTTTGTTAAGCACCCAGTTGAATATTCTACACCATTGCGGTAGCTATTGAGAGAGCCAATAGTGTCACAACCGACACTTATGAACTTGTTTTCTTTGCTAGAAATGGTAAAAGCTGGAGTGCTAAGATAGGGTTGATTAGCTACACCATTTTTGGTATCTTTGCAAAGTTCGGAGACAAAAAACATCATATCAAATTGACCTTGGAGGGATATGTTTAAAACTTGCGTATTTCCCTGAAATAGAGAATTATTTTGGCAAGTAAGATTCAACCCATCCTCCAAGAAACAGTTCTCACCGGTTTTAGATTTACCTACACCAAATGGATATGGAATTGTAACATTTCCACAAGTGTCTATGCAACCAGGGAGAGATGTATCTACTACAGCAACTCCTACCCCTACTAATGCAAGCATTAACAATATGGTTAGCAGCATGAGCATCATCTTAGTCTAATGTGTTCCTCACAAGTCCCGAGACAGAATAAAGAAGAAGGGGTTGGAAACTGCCTTCACTAATTGGATGTTAAGGATTCACCAGGTTCATTTGAAAGAAGGAAAGAGAAAAAGTTTAAATAAGGAATATTGAGTGAGATTGAATAAATGTCAAGGTTCTTTTCATTTTTCTATTCTTTTCTTTTCTCGGTTTTTTTATGTAGCTGAAAATGTCAAATTTGTATGTCTTCGTCCAATAGGAATTTATTTATTTCGGCTATATGAAGGAATCTACAGCTGGATCTTTTATAACGAAGTTATAAATTGCCACTTTGGGTTTCTTGTTGCAATTAATAATTGCCAAGAAAATTTGAAATCAGAATTTGACCTTGCACGAAGTAATCAACTCATTTTATAAATTAGCAAGATTAGTTTTGAATCGATGAATTTAATTAGAATAACTTTATACACCTTTATCTAAATGTAAATTGTCATATTACTGATAATAATTAGCTTTTGTAATGATTAATTTAAAGGTTATATTTATTGTGTATTTTAATTGGTTGTTACACCTTTATCTACTAGTAAATTTTCATATTAATTAATAATAAATTTTTATAGTGATTATTTAAAAAGTTATATCTATTGATTATTTTAATTAGTTGTTTCATTAATAACATATTAAAATTAAACTCTTGTAAAAATTAAATAAAAATGATTAAGAATATAACATTTTTTTTATTGACTTATAAATTAATCAATAGCATTTAGCTTTAATGTTTTAAATTTGGTAGAATAAATATCACGACAACCTTATAATTATCATGTGAAATACTAATGCACATAACCACAATTATCCAGTAAACAAGTTTTTATATAATATCATTTATATTATTATTTTTATTTCTTTTAAATACTGTTGTTTTCAATTTTAATTTTAAATTTGATATGTTATATCAAAAGAAATATATTTATTCTTTTAGAAAAATAAAATTTTATAATTATATAATTTTAAAAGACATTCTATTTAAGTGGTTAGGATAAAGAGCTAAAATTAGAATACTTTTGTTAGGAAATAAACTATTGAAGATTTTGAGAATATACAAGAATAACAAATATTATATTTTAAAAGAACTTATTATTTATAAAATTATAATTTTATTCAATCTTAATTTAAATTTAATTTTTAAATATAGAATTTAATTTGACACATATCAATTAAATAAGAGTTTAATTGTTACACAATGGTGTGTAAAACTATTTTACATAACATCCAATAAAATTGTGCCACCTCATATTATCTTTTATATAACAATTTATAAAGTTAAGTAAAATCTAAAATAGTAATTTCTTAAACGTTTTCTCTCGTATATATTTCCGCACTCTTAGAGTCATCATCGCTAACATTTCTATTGGCTATTGCATGTATTACTATTTCAATATCCTACATATCCATCGTTCAGCCAAAGTGATCAATGCAATAACACCATTGACAACTTCAAAGTAACATAGCAAGCAGACTCGTCAACACATTAACGGCGTAAAGAGGACTATAGAAGATAGAGAGGAAGCGTTCAAGAAAATTAGAATTTTCTGTTATTCTAGAAAAATAGAATTTTAAAGTTTATTTGAGTAAATTAATTTTAATATTGACTTATAGTATTAGAAAAATGACGTGTTGACAACTTCAAATTGACATAGCAAGCAGCCCAATCTCCATATCAAATGGGTCACTGACCAAGCAACTTGTGGAAAAAGGTCGTAGAGATGTCTGTTTCAAGTAACGTGGGGCAGTTTAATTGGATGTCAATGTGACCATATATAACTATTAAATTGTTAAAGACTTTAGCATGTTTTACATGATAAATTGTTTTTTTTTTTCCTTGTAATTCACATGCTGTTGTTGGCTTAACTACCTCATGTAGTTATATTTTATCTAATCTTATTATTTATTGGTTTTTTCTAAAAAAAATGATTTTGCCACCTCATATTAATTTTTTTTACATTACAATTATAGTTAAATTTATTTAAATTAATTTTAAAATATTAATTTCTTAAATGTTTTCTCTCGTATATTTTTCCGTCCTCTTAGAGCCATTATTGCTAACATTATTGTCACATCATGTATTACTATTTCAATATCCTATCCATCATCAGGTGAATGCAATAAACACAAAGTGACACAGCAAGAAGACGATCAACACAATAGATGACCAAGCAACTTGTGGAAAAGCATCGAATAACTAAAATGATGTATCTTGAATCAAATAATTTATTTTTATAATATTTTTCTTAATTTTAAAAAATAGGTATAATACATGAGTTAATATATATAAATTTGATCAGGGTAAGATATTTGGATGTGGTAGATAACTCTACCACTAAAGATTTTTTACATATAAAAAGATTCAAATTTGAGACTTTATTTAAGAGATACTGAGTCGCTTGTTACTCAGACTAATTTTCGTTAATAATATTACATTTTAATTTGGACCAACAAAAATGAATCATATGTAATTTGTGAAAGAATTGTAAGAGATTTATTTAATTTTTTTATAAAACAAATTCAATATTAAATTGAACCTTTTGCTTCTCACCATAAATTAAATTAAAAATAATAAAAACTAAATTTGATTTTAGATTACAGTTTTTGAATTGGATAGCTAATATCTTATTATAAAAAATAATAAAGCATAAGATAAAATATATTTCAAATAAAGATTAGTTTATCTATAAATATATATAGTACAATTAATATTATTTGAAATAAATATATTTTAGCATGTCTTAGTAATAATTTTTTACTATTCATATTTTAATACATTTATTTTTTATTAAAAAAATTATTTTTTACTCAATAAAATAATTAAACTCTTAAATTTAAGATAAATTTATCACACCATATATATAAACTATGTCAGAATTCTTTTCAACATATATCAAGTATATATTTATAACAATTTTGACTTATAAAATTAATTTGTTATTAAATAGATATTTTAAAATTAAATCAAACAAATACCGTTGAAATATTTTATTAATTTTTTTAAGAATGAAACTAAAGATAATAAAATTTATATATATTATAGTACAACAATGTCTTAGTATTTTACTATATAATTGATAAAATGTTTCATTAAAAACCCTGTTTGTTTAATTTATAAATATAATTAAAGTAAAAAATAAATAATATTTTAGCTTGTCTAAAAATATTTAAATGTAAGATAAATATCTTAAAAAGTTATTAAAATATCCTTTTAACCTATCTAATATAATTTCGCCGTTATCATATAAATAAGTATAATTATTAATGGTTGATGTTAAAATATAATCTTAAATATGATTTTTAAATGTATAGGGGTCATTTAAGCAATGAAAAGTTAAAAAAATTAAATAATAGATTGTATCATTAGCTCTATGTTATGTATTAGGTAAACTTTATAAATATGTATATTTCTTATTTATTGGTCAAAGTAAAGAAGGGTATTAAAAAAAAAATCCTAACTCTCTTGAATTTAAAATATCTTTTTTTACATGAGAATGGTGGGAGAAAAAGAAGTTGAACAAGACATTTAAAATACATTTTTTCCTAAGTCAACACAAGTAGTATGCATAGGGTAATATCTTTTGAACTAAGATAATTTACAGAATAGTAGGATTCGCTCGTTTAATGAAAAGTTTTTCTATTTACAAAATTTAAGCTTGAGACTTTATTTAAAGAGAATTAAACACGCACTTGAATTAAGCTTTGATTGTTGCATTAATAAGTGCTGAAATTTTAGGACTATTATCTAAAATGCGTACAAAGTAAATAAAATAGGGATTTGTGGGTAATTACAAGAACTGACTGAATAATATACTTAATTCTAATCCAATCGTGGGGTCTCTAGCGTGGAAAGAACTAAAAAGCAAACAAATGAAATTAGAAAACTCTTAAGACTATGCTAATAAGGACTTCAAATGTGAGGGATCAAAAGGGATTAAAGAAAAAGTAATAATAAAAAACGAAATTATATTTAATAAATTCTTCAAACATTGCCGTTGACTCAATGCATCCAGTCAACTCAATTGCTGAGCCAATCAAGTACTGCCATCGGTTATCAACTTTTTCTTAAGTGACAAAATCATGTTTATCTTTTTGGGGTCTTTTTAATAATAATGACCAAGAAATAAAAACTACAAAGTTTTATTAAAACTCAAACCAAATATATATTGAAAATAATAGTAGGTGTATAAATAGTAATTTTAATACAAATTATTCTCTTGTAATATTTAATCACTAGTTAACAAATTTTGTATTATCTATATCTTTTTTATTAAATATTAAATAAGTTAAATTTATTTAATATTTAAAAATAAATATACGATATAAATATACATTAAAATAATTATATATACAACATAATGAAATTATTTTAAACAAAAATTTTCTTCAAAAATAATTTTAACTTAACTATATTACAACAAATAATATATATTCAAATGAAAGGTATTTAATAGAATTAAAATATAATTATTTCATTATAAAAATAATTATATGACTCGAAGTTTTTTTTTTTTTTACTCCATTACGAAGAGTTGATGACAGAGGAAAAGCTGAGCAGATGAGAAAATAATATATTATTACTTGATTATTTGTTTACATAATTTGTACATCTATTTATAGGAAAAATAATCCTAAAACTAGTAATTGGGGAAGAAAAAATTTGTACGATATTGGCGTATCGGCATAATTATCTACATATTCTTTAGCCTAATTATAAAAATATCCAATAATTATGAGAATAACAATTGTTGAATTATAGATGGCATCAATCACATGTTTACAACATATATTTACAATACTTCCTGTCAAGCTGGTGAATGAATATCCATCATTTCTAACTTGTTTGAAAGATCTTAAATATGTGTTGTGTCGAGTCCTTTTGTGAATATCCATCATTTCTAACTTGTTTGAAAGATCTTAAATATGTGTTGTGCCAAGTCCTTTTGTTAATATGTCAACTAGTTGATATCCCAAGAGAATATCTATTGTCTTAACAAGCTCGTTGTCCAACTTTTATTTAATAAAATTCCTGTCTACTTCTATATATTTTGTCCTATCATGTAG